GAGAAGGGCACAAAGAAAGAAGACAAAAAAATTCTGTAATCTGGGAAGGTCTCGTTTCTACAGACAGTGTAAGGCACACTCCATGTGATCTCACAGGCCTGCTTCAGGGGGCAGCAGTGCTTGCACTACAGATCTTCTGTGTAAGAGGCAAGTGGCATTTCAGTGCCCTGTGGGTACTTCTGGCTCCTTTCCAAAAGAGAGATCCTGAAACAGGAGCCCTCATTTGCTGCTGACCATTTTCCCAGTCACCATCTCTTTTACTATTGGGTCTAGTGGAAAGCCTTCATAGTATGAAAATCTAAAAATGTCAACCAAAAACTTTCCTGGTTTCTCCCAACCCCCAAGTCGTTCTGGATCTAAAGTGATCCTTCTGAAATACAAGAGGAAAGTAAAGTGGCTGACTAGATGATCCCTGTCTCTGTTAGGTAGAAAATTATTTTTCAGAAAATCTTATACTGGATACACATCCAACTTATGCATTTTAGCTTAATTTTTAAGCAAAAGCTATCTTAGCTGAATGCTTTTAAAAATAATGGACTGGAAAGTCAGAGAGATCAAGTAGCAGACATGCTGCTGGTCCTTCTACCTTAAAAACTGTTTGTCTTTCTCTACCTCTAATGTAGCATTATTAGAGTAGTGTGAATCCTGCTGTGATCATCTTTCTAATTCCTAAGGTGGCATTTCAAGGCCAGGAGAGAGGTGAGCTTTAGTCCTTCAGAGGTAAGCCTGTGCAGGCTGGGTCTAGACAACTGGAAAGGGATGTGACTGTGGGGATACATGGGCTGCTGTAAAATCAATGGATTTATTACACAATTCTCCTGCTAGTTTGGGGACATTTGTTTTTGTCTAATACTGCTCTCTCTCCCCCAGTATATATATCTATATATATATATATGTATATATATATATTAGTGGGAAAATGTTTATCTTCTGCACTGTTTAGAATTACTCAGTCAAACAGAAGTACTTAAGATTAAGACCTTAATATTTAATAAGCTCTCAATTGTTAGAGAGCAGTGAGCCTGCCAGTGTGAGATTGGGCTGGCAGCTCAGTGGATTAATGGAAACACAGAGCTCAGTTTAAAAGCCCTGAATGATAATCTTTAAATGTGCTTAGGTATTGTGGTTGTGCAGTTTCTCTGGGGAATCATCATATTCTTTGCTTCAAAAATTTCACTGAAGACTTAACTGAAACTACAGCTCAACTTTGCCTACTGGGAAATCTACTTTCATTCCTGGGGCTTATATTCCTTCTGTATACCTCTGTACACCCAGAGTGTGAGTCCTTGTGGGTTTTCACTTATCATATTTTTGCTGCAGGAACAGTTTTACACAGACTTGAAAAACAAAAGTTGCAGAGTTGAGCAACTTTCCTACCTGAACAGAGATCTTTCTTAGGCTTTCAAACAAGCAAATGTTGCTATTTGAAATTACTGAAGTTAAAACTATATGGATGCTTGTGATTTGTGGTCTCAATGAAGTAGACAGAGGAAATCAGGTTTGTTAACTCCTCCAGAGAATGTGAAATTCTCTGGTGTTTTAGGTTCATGTAACCCATTTCAATAGTACTTCATTCTCTGATAGAGATCTGCGTAGTCCCACTGCAATGATAGTGTAGACACAATGTGGTGCATTCTGGGATGTCCTCAGACAGATTGAAAAGCTTGAGAATTATAGATTGCTTTTTCTCATTTTTATAAGAACTTGCCAGTCTGAAAGGTGTCTAGACTTTGAGTTACTTTAGTTGTGTATACATTTCTGGGGATTATCTCAATTTCAATTTAATTTGCCATTTCACTCCATGCCATAAAGCTTTCAGGGAATCTTTCATTTCAGTGAGAGCTCACTAAATTAAAACGAAAATGAAATGTGCATCATCAGCACTGAGAGTGGCAGTGTTATCCTGAATTTCTCTTACTACTTCACCAGAGGTGCTTGTGCATGTAAGGCACCAGGGTGCTCAGTTGTTCAGCACTAGATCTGACTGTGTAGCTGAATATTCTCGTGTTCTGTGCAGTTGCACTGACACTAAGAAAGCTTTTGCAGTTGCAGGATACTGTGCTCCATGAAACAGCGACAGAATAGCTGTGACACAACAGCTGTGACACAACAGCTGTGACAGATCACCTGTGACATGCTGAGTTCTTTTAAACTGTAAAATGGTTTGGGTTGGAAAGAACCCTAAAAATTACCTAGTTCCAACCCCTTGGCTGTGAGCTGGGGACACCTTCCTCTAGATCAGGTTGCTCAGAGTCTCCTTCAGCCTGGCCTTCCAGGGACGGGGCATCCATTAACTCCTCTGAGCAGTAGGTGCCTCACACCCTCACAAGAATTTATTTCTAATACCTATTTCTTCTCCAGCCTGAAATCCCAGCTCTCTCAGACTCGTCCTGACAGGAGATGTGCTCCAGCCCTCTGAGCATCTTTGTGGCCTCCTCTGGACCTTCCCTAGCAGGTCCAAGTCCTATGTCAGGACCCCCAGAGCTGGATGCAGTACTGCAGCTGGGATCCCACTAGAGTGGAATAGAGAGAGAATCAGTCTCGACCTGCTGGCTGACCTGCTTTTCTTTCTGGGATACAAGAGTACATTGCCAGCTCCTGTCGTGCTTCTTGCCAACAGCACTGAACTCCTTCTCCTCAGGGCTGCTCTCAGTCCTGTATTTGTACTTGTTTTTACCCAGCCTGTCAGGATTTCCCTGACTCAGGTGCAGGACCTTGCACTTGGCTTTGTTGATTTTAGTAGGATTCTCTCGGGCCCATGTGTCCAGCCTGTCCAGGCTCTCAGGATGGCATCCCTTCCCTCCAGCATGCTGGCTGCCCCTCAGTCTTGGTGTTGTCTGCAGACTCGCTGAGGGTGACTCCATCCCACTGCCCACATTGCTGACAAAGATGTTGAACAGTGCTGGTCTCAGCATCCTCCTGGACCCCAAGGAACACCACTCTTCACTGGTCTCCTCTTGGACTTGGAGAGTGACCATCCAGCTGGTTGTTTATCCACTGCATCCATCAAACCAATTTATCTCCAGTTTAGGGACAAGGCTGCTGTGCAGGACACTGCCAAGCTTTGTACAAGTCCAGGTAGGTTATGGCAGTCACTCTTCCCTTATCCACCTCTGTAAGCCCAATAGAGGTGGCCACTGGATTTGTCAGGCACGATTTTCCCTTAGTGAAGCCATGGTGGCTGTCCCCAGACATATCCTTATTTTCCATATGCCTTAGCCTATTTTCCAAGAGGATCTGTTCCATGATTTTGCTGAGCAGTGAGGTGAGACTGATGAGCCTGTAGTTCTCCAGATATCCCACTTTTCCCTTTATCAAAATGAGGGTTATGTCCCCCCTTTTTCAGTCAGTGGGAACTTTACTGCACTGCTATATATCTCAAATATGATGGATAGTGGCTCAGCTACTTCATCCAGCAGTTCCCTCAGGACCTGCAGATGTAGCTCATCATCCTCAGCATTTTTCAATAATGTTTAAATTGCATATAAATTCAAGGCTACTGCTCCCTGGATTGATCTCTTGCTAGGCTGGAAGGACTGAAATTTGGAGGATGTAAGAGAAATCAGTGTCTGTACCTTTTAAAGCTGTTCATCATCTGAGTATTCCTGTGTCCTTCACTAGCTTAGTGATCCTGCTGCACCTCGGAGGAGAATGGATGGGATTGCAGTCTGAAGAGGAAAGCAGCTGGAACAGGACACAGGGCCTGTTCTGAATGGGCTCACCACACATTTCATGGGATGTTGCTCTAACTTTGTACCTTACAGTGGGGAAAACCAGTCTGCTCAAGTCTCTTGTTCATTTCCAACCTTCTCTCTTAATCTTTTTTTTTTTTTTTTTTTTCATACCTGTCATTTTTATTTTCCCTTTTCTTCATCACCTTTCCTGATGTAGATACTTGGATAAATTGGAGTCCTGTGCCACCCATAGCAAAGATTGCTTGCATTGGAATATTTTGGTTTGGAGAAGAACACATGCACATGGATTTTTTGAATGTGTGTTAACTCTTGATTCCATCAGGAACAAGAGAGTGTGATTTTCAGCAAGCTTTTAATTGTGCCGTTTTTTCCTATGATAATTCTTCTTTGAAACCTGCGAGCGCTTATTTCAAAGGACCTTTTGATAATGAAGATGTTTTGTGTCAGGGTAACCAGCTGTGGTGCCCAGTGAGGAATAAGAAGGTGTTTAATAGGGAAGAACTTCAATGCACGGACTTCACAGGGAGATTTAAAACTTCAATTTTTATTAGCACCAAATATCAAGCAAGTTCCATGACAACAAGCTGTACTTCCAAGCTGGTGAATTACTTTGTTTAGGGAAAGTGAGTTAGTAATTATATGACACATCAATTCAGTCTATGTACTCCCTTGTGTTTGCATTTGCAAATCCCTAATTCCTTCTGTTGTGCACAGGTCCGAGTTCACAATTTCTGTCCTTCTCCCAAAAGTTGGAGTATTTTCAATCATAAAGTTTTGAGGCAACTCTGCCCCTGAGAGACCATAACTTAGCTGCTCACCAGAACAGTCAAAGCCCCTGTGGCTTCTAGGTGGATATATTACTGTTTCTAACATATTTGTGTGTCCAGTTCCTGCAGCTGAGCTCACAGCACGAAGCATTTACCCAAAGAGCTTGACCTGTACCTCCACACAGGCTCCCTGTTCAACTAATGCCAGCTTGGCTTTCTAAGGGAATTAAGACAGGAGGCAGGGAGGGAGGCTGTGTGTATTCTGAGATTATAACAAAGCTTTTGGTGACTGACTGTGATGAGAGACCTGGTGTTGGATTAGAGAGTGAGAGGTGGGGTTCCAAAAAAGCATTAGAATCAGCACTATGCAGGAGTGCTCTTTTTGTGGACTCTTTGCAAATGCTTCATCCTAATTGAGTTTGCAAACAGCTCTAACTCCCTTAAGGGAGGGAGAGGGTGTGTTCCTTGAGAAATGACAGCCTGAAAATGAGAGAACTGAGAGTTACACGAACACATTTTTACCCTTTTTTTTTTTTTTAATAGAAGTTATCTTGGACAGTTGGGCTGCCACAGTACAAACTGTGGGGATGCATATGCTGCCCCAGTCACCTTTAGAGTGTGTGGGTGCTGGTGAGCATTTCAAAAGAAAACAAATGCATAATTTCTAAGATGAGGCATTTATTTTTACCTCAGTATCCTGGGTGCTTATTATTCAAGGTGAGATATAATATCACAATCCGTTAATTGCATCTGTGGCTGATACAATAACACTGAACAAGTTTCCAAGTTAAATTGGGTTAAAAAAAATTGAAAAAGAATCCCTGCAGTGTTAGTCTGCCTGGAGCATGCTAAACAGCCAGTGACAGTTCTGCTTGATAACAGGGCTTGTCTAGCCATTTGCAAGCTTGCATCAAGGAATTGAGGACATTAAGAGCAACTCAGAATCAGTCACTACATAGGTCCAGAACCAGGCTGCACGAATTACTTAGTCACAGTACTTATTCTGCTCTCTACTGTAGAGACTGTGCTCTCCTAAATCAGTATTAAACCTGAATTTTGTAAAGCCACGTAACATATCTTACCACTGGGCACTAAAATTTATACAGTCAAACAACTGAATCCCCTCTATATTTGACAGACTGGGACTCTGACTGACCACTTATTTTTGTGTGTAGAACAGCAGATTTAAATGGTAGAGGTGGAAGGGCTGGAGCAGTGATGGACTTAAGCTTTAAGGCCAAAGAAGGGCATTTGTGAAGGAGGGAGATGATGAAGTGCATCTGAATAGACTTTGAGAAACCAGTTCCTGAAATCCCTGTATTTCTCCAGTAATTTTTAGTTTATCTTCAGGATGAATGCTTTACACCTGAAACTCTTGTCACTGTCCATATGAGACACAGACACATAAGATATACATTAACAGTTGGGGAATTTTTTATGCTGTACTGGTTTCTACAGATTTTTGTTTTCTATGTATTTAACTATATCCAGTTACATGTTTTGTTTTGTTGCCTGTGATTTGAACTATACTCTGTAATAGCAGTACCGTGGGAATATAAGGGGAAGTTTATAGTGGATAATTATCCCATCCTTTCAAATAATGCTTTAATTGCACATACAGGGAAGTCTGTTTAGTAATTCTGTACTAACAAAATATTCTGCTCTGCCTAAATACCTCTACATAAAAGATAGCAGGGATTTGTTTGAGGAATTAGTTCAACTGATCAGCTATTTCTTCACTGAAAACCTGCATCCTAAGATACAGAACTTCTGTTTAGCTGTCTAACACGCACTGGTGTAGATTTGGTAGTGAATGTTTTCTGGCTTTTGGAGGGAGGAATGTAAACTGAGCTATTCCTGCAGCTCAGCAAACTGCAGGATTTCTAGTGAACAGACAGTAGTTCCATGGGGAAACAGTTTATTTCAAGGGGAGACAAGGAAGCAAGGCCTAGGGTAAAGTGACCTCCCATAGGCAACTAATAGAACTTCAGAAAAAAACAGCCTTTCAAATGGCATTGGCCATATTATGTCATGCCACATTAATGACAGATTTCTTATTTGGGGTTTTTAGCACGGTAAGATAAGAAACATAGGGCTCTGTGTTTTGCACTTTTGATGTGTCAAGACAAAACTTTGAATGACGTTTCATAAGCTGTCCTTAAATCTCTTGGAAAATAATTTGTTTTACAGAGCCAGAACAATCAGCTAGGCCTGATATTTCCAGGTTGTGTTAAGTGTGCAAAAATAGCAGGATGTGGGTGAAATACTCATCTAGTTGATGATTAAAGTAGGAACAGCTCTGTCTATGCCAACATGTAGTACAAAAGCAAAGACAACTGGCATAGCTACTGGGCTTAGTTGTTTGAAACAATGGGATGTTGAAAATCAATAGAGTACTCAATTACCCAAGGTTAAGCTCTAGTGGAAAGGCAAATTAAGCTGTAAAGGTAATATTGCTGCTGTGAGCCACGTATTTCTGTAAGCATCATTAAGTTATCGTTCCTAAAGTATAGAACCAATGGTGAGTAAATGAAGTTGAAAGGCAACATGTTAAAATCCATGTAAGAAGGATTCTTTTAAATGCAACAGGAAGAAATTGTGAAATTCACTGCTATACTGCAGGACTAAAGTTTCACAAAGACAGAAAGGGATTAAAGATAGATGTGGCTGATGAGACCATCTAGTGGTGCACTCAATGGGATGAAGATGATTCAAGTAATGTAAATATCTCTCCTGAACTAAGGGAGCTGTAAGAAACTTGCACCAAAGGTGTGGGTTATCCCTTATGATGCTTCCTGCAACAACCTCTGAAACCTCTGGGTCTCTACTCCTCCCATTACAATTTCAACAGTACACCTGTGGTGTTGTTCAGAATGCACAGTTTAGTTTAGAGACAATTTCACTTGTGAAGCTGTTTGACCTGTAGGGTACAACAAATTGTACAAAAAAAGGCAGTGTTAGACATGACTGCAGCTAACATACCTGGCTAACCAGACATTCTTCTGATCTGACACAGTACAAGTTCCTAGTTGTTCCATTTAAAAACATTCTGGTGCTAATTTTTCAAGTTTTTCTATGTAATTTCTGAATGTAAGCAACTACCACAGAAAAAGAGAAGTTCTTTTATTTCAAAGCTATCAGTAACAGACAAGTTGTGAACACAAAATAATTTGGTTTGGGTCTGAGTATTTTTTAACACTAAACTTGATCTCCCAGTAGTTTCTGAATTGTTATTGACTACCACATAATTTCAGGTTGTCTGCTCTTAAGAGGAAAGAGGTGTGTAAAGTTACCTGGGAACAGGTAAGCCACTTAAATAATAATAAAAACGAATTGGTAAGGAAAGATAGGTAAAATCAAAGGTAATGAGAAATGACAAAGGAGTAGAACACTTTAGGGTTTTGTTAAATTGCATACAGTGTGTGTGTGTGTGCACTTGCACACACACACATCTTTGGGTCTGTATAGAATCACTGTTTAGCTTGTAGTGCAGTTGCTTATAAAGAATACAAAAGACATTCTGTTGTAAACTTTAAAGAATATTTAATAACGTTTTAAAAATAAGATGTATATTTTAAATTTTGTTCTTTATATGAATGCACAAAAAGGTACCATTGTAATTGCAGCAACCAAACCCAAAGAACAGAGGAGACCTGCCCACTGTGGGTAAGATACCAGTGACAAGGGAGGAGAATTCACAATGGAATCCAAACAAGATTTCCCAGGGCAAGTCCCAGTGTGTTTTCTAACTGTCAAACTCAGTATCTTTGCAGATCATTTACACTTAGCAAATTCTTGCAGATAAATTAGAGTTAAATAAAGAGTCTGGGTTTAAAATAAATGCCACAATCAACTGCTTGTTTCTGTTGCTTACCTTTGGTGCCACATTTATAGCACAACACCGAAGCCAAGGGGTAAATGAAAGGTTGGGACTTTGTCCACGGTGCCAGCCTGCTGTCCTGCCCTGGGAAGGTGTAAGAGGCAGCCCAGCCACGTGTGCTCAGTGTGACCAGGTCATATTTGTGAGGGTTTGGGTGGATTCCCTTGGCAGCCCTATTGCTGATGCAAGACAGAGGATTTTTACAGCTTCTGTGCAGTTCCTTCCTCTCCATTTTATAAATCCTACAATGATGCATTTAAATGCTAATTATTGATCAAAAAATAAACCTTTAGGAGTTTGTTTGATTTGAGGGTGGAGACCAAAAACTATTCATAGAACAGGAACTGAAGTGAATTTCAGTGATTGTGCACTGTGTGATGAGGAGCTAAGTAATTATGCTGTACAAATAATAAGATTTAGCTGCTACAGGAAAATAAACCATATTCTATTAAAGACACGATTTGGGGTTGGGTTTGTTTGGTTGTTTTTTTTTTCTAATAATTGTGAAGATGAACAGCTAAAAGTATATTGGACTGAATCTAAAAAGCTAAATCCTGATGCTGCTGAATTCAGTAGGTTCAGCCATATGCCCTGTGCCTTCATATCTTGTTATTAAGCAGAAACAGCCATGAGAATAAATTAAGAGTGCTCCTTTATTGCCTTTGGTTCTGTCTTTAAATTAAATGTATTGAGTCCTCCTTCATGTTTAAAGATAAGAAGCCACAATAATATAAAAGGCTTTACTAAAAGTGACAAGACACTAATAGAAGCAATTGGAATGACTTCTCTGTTGCTCTGCCTGCATTCAATATCAGCAGCCTTTCAAATGGATATTATGTACTACAGGTTACTTATATATAATCAACCAGTTTAATGTGAAGTTTTATGTGTAAAATTGAACTGTCTTTTTTTTGGCTTTTTGTTTGTTTTTTTAAAAATATTGTTGCTGTTACACATCACAAAATATTCTCACCTTGTCAGCACAGAAAGGATGCAGTGCTCTTAAGAAAATATGGTAAGTCTGAGGCTTGTTATGTGCAGTGTGTTCAGAAATGAAATCAGATTGTGCTGGTAATGCTGTAAGCACTGTAACAGCTGCTTGGTCTGTGTGGAGAGAGTTAGTAACACCAAATATACAAAACAGACCAGTTCAAATTATTAACAACTTGCAGGAGCATCTCAGTTGGTAGTGGAAGAATAGTATTTAAAAAAGAATTTTTTGCAGCAATATGTGATAGGGGTTTTTTTGTGTTTGTTTGTCTGTTTGGAGCTTTTTGGTTTGTTTGTGGTTTTCGTTTTGTTTTCTTTTCTCCCCTAACTGTATGTTTTTGTTGCAGTGACTGGGATTTACAAAGTGAATGTTGCTTATACACTCTTTAGGTACTTGTTTTTGAAAACCAAAGCAGTTTATCTTGTAAAGACACCTAAACTGTGGAAAATGATTAGACTTGTCTCCAGTCTGCTTCTCATATTTTGTTTCCACTGAAGCTTTAGCTGAAGTCCTGAAGTGTTCTCTAAGAGCTCAGCACATATTACTGTGAGACTCAGGAGAAGAGTTTGTGATCTCCCTTTTCCCCACATCACCATCAAGCAAATTGATGAGAGTTGCTCTCTGTGGGAGTTCTGCACGATGGTTTGTTCCCATCAACTGAACACCATCAGCCTGCTGTCTCTGTGTTAATTTTTAATGGCAGGGATCACTACAAATAGACTTGTCTACCTTTTATCTGTCTCAAAAAAAATCAATGTTTTATGAATGTATTCATCACTCTGTCATGCAGCTTTTCAGGGGTAGAAACTCGGAGTTGTCAGCAGGAGCACCCCTGTGTACAGACTATAAACCAAGGCAAGAACTCAAGGTACAGCTAACCTGGAATTGTGTCTGTGCAGATTAAGAAAAGAACAGAGTGGAGGGAGGGAAGGAACAAACTCACACCACCTTTTGCAGAGCAGGACAGTCTGCAGGTCAGCCTGGGCTCAAGAAGCAGAGAGCATGGAGACTCTGGTGACTGCAACACCATGAGTGGGCTTGGAGGACAGGGCCCCTGTGTGTGGGCTACTTGCTCAGCTTGGGTTTGTCTGGACTTGTTTGCATGACAGGAACATCCTTTAGTGGTGGGGAGGTTGCTGTGATAGTGATTGGGAAGCCACATAAAATGCACACAAGTAATACATTGCTTTTACCTTAGCCTGCACAGCTACATGCCCCACAGGGGTAAAATTTTGGAAGATAATTGCTCTTTTAAACACCAGACTGTCCTAAGCAATTTCCCAGAAAATACGGAGTAGCTCATGCCTGAGAGTGAGATGTCTGAAGGAAATCAGCAAAGAGACAAAAAAAACCCCAAATCTAACAAGTGAGAGTCAATCTGTCAAACAATGCAGGTCCAGAAAAGAGTCTGTTATGGGTGTAAAGGAGATTGTTCAATAGGCTGTGGGCTGGCAAGTCCAGCTTTGTGCTGGAAATTGCCTTTAAATCAAAGCATGCAAAATGTCACTGAGCTGAGACCTGCTGTTGTAAGCAGGGTAACTTTCTCTATGAGCTTGATTCATGCTGCCAGCCTGCAGGAATGGCTGCACTCAGCTTCCTGGGATAACACAGCTCCATGGCCAGCTCTCTGCTCTAAGTGACAGTGGCTGAGAGCTCCTCAAGTGCTGGCTGAAGGGAGCAGCATCTGCATGGCTCTGTTTGCCTGTTCCCTGCTTTGTCCTTTCCCTGGCACACATGCACTACCTGGAGTGTTTGCTGGCAGGGAATTAGTTGTTTGAACAATAGGACACATCTGATTTTTAACCTCATCACCAGAAGATGTGCATAGGAGGGTACTACATCAATTACTTCAGTTATTAATGAGTGGCTGTTCCCTGGTTAAAGAAAGTTATGGTTTTGATTTCTGCATATCTCTGTGAATCCATGATATTCCAGAAAGTGTGGATTATATTCTAGCCAGCAGCTAGGTAAAGGAAAATGCATCTGAAAAAGAGCACTGAGAAGTGACTCCAGTTCTTACAGAGACTGTCAGACAAGACAGTGTCTTGGCTGTTGTCAGCGTGCATCTGGGAGGAAAAAAAAACCCTAAGCATAAAAGCATCTGAAGTCTTCATAACTCTCAGAAAAATGAGCAATGTGTGGAAGATTCTTCCTCAGCAAGGCAAACTCTATCATACCTGCAGATGATATTATCCCAAAGTAAATTAATGAAATGGCGACATTCAGGGAAGGAACAGCTGACAGCTTTGTACACATCTTCAAGCGTGGAAATGAGTGATATTTTTTGGCAGACTTACTTGAAGCAGAGATGATAAAAAAATAAAACCATAGTAGACTGACAGAGAGAGCCCACTCACAAGTTGTTTACTGAAATGAAGATACAGCTGAAAGTAATTACTTGTTTCTCAGAGGTATAAGTGATAGTGCCTTGTACAAGAAATAAAACTTGTTTTTTTCAGTTGGAATGTAAAATAGGATAGAAAGGTTTCCTCTTTCTGAGGTTAGATGCTGGGTATTTTCACCTCCTTTCAGAAAAGTATGTGTTTATGAATGTAATATATATAACATACACAGTCAACCATCTATATGCCACTGGCAATGAGGAAGTGAGGCAATGTCCAATATTGTTTTCCATTAACAGCCAGGATCTCGCTGTACAGATTCCAATTAAAAGCCTGACTTTGCGGCGCGTGAGATTAAAAATGCTCCTTTAAAACAATGTATTTCTGAAGATGATCCTCTCCTGGCTACAAAATCATCTTGAGATACTTGGAGGCAGGGCTGCTTGATCTTGACATTTTAGCTGTGTGCAAACTGTAGTAAAATTACAATTGCATTCAGTGCTAGCTACTCTGTGCCTTCTTGCTGAAGAACGTTTATTCTCTACGTCCTCGCTTCCACACTGGGAAATGTGGGAAGGCAGCCTGGCAGCTTTTGCAGAGGTTGCCTCAGTGCCATCTTTTTCTAAATGGATTTGCAGTCAGCCCCTCGTAAGCAGCCTCTCTTGCCTTGCCACAGGCCAGGGAAAAGGAACCATTGCTTTTCTGGTTTTCCTCTGCTTAAAGACAAGGCTGCTTCTTACCTGTGCCAGTTCAAGTACTGACTTTTTCTTTTCTTCCTCCTTCAGTAAAGTGGGGTGATTCACAAAATCTTCAGAAAGATTGCATTATACACAGTTTATAGTACAAAGGGGGGGAAAAAGGTCAGATGAATGAGCATGAAGGAGATTTCTCCTGTGTCCTTTGGAGGAGAAGCAGAAAGATTGGGAATGGTATCTATGCACAGTAGGTGTCTGCCTTGACTACCTGACAATACATGGTCATTGCAAAGGTGAGTCCGAGAATCTAAGAGAAAAGAAACAACAAACAATTGTTTTTCAGTGAGTAAAAAATCCCTATTTATTGAAACAACAAGAAAAAAAGAGAAGAGCATGACATTAGTTTTTTCCCCACACAGGAGGACATGTCACATACTGCTTTTCCTGCCTGTTCATGTCCTTGCTCTGTTCCTAGAGTCTGTCTGCCTTTTGTCTTTACCTGTATTGCTGTCTTACAGAATGAACAGTGAGAGCAGGGGAGTGTTGATTTCTCCATCAAGAGCAGCCACCAGATACTGAGAAGAGGAATATTGAAAAAAATTCGGATGCCTTTTGCTTGAAAATACTCTATAGTAGCAATCCCCAGCTGTGTAGGTATTCTTTGGGTATCCCTGTAACTGTTTTGAAAGACATTGGGTTAATGCCTGGCCCTAAGGATGCTGTGGTTTACTTTACGTTACTTTTCCAAGTGAATGTGTGCACAGGTCCCTGTGGGGGAATCACTGGAGACTGAACATGCATTAATCATGGCCATCAATGCCTCATCAACAATGCATGTGTTTTTCTACTCAGCCCATTCAGAGAAGCAGCAGGCAGGTGGGGGTTCTTCTCCCAGCCAAGCACTGACCTGTTGTGCTGCCTCTGGTAGATTATTTCATCAAAAGGGGATGAGGCAGAGAGTCTTATTTTCCTTCCAGCTGAGTACTTATATGAATGTACTAAGTGCTTGTTACCTTTCCTTAGCAACACCACTGTAAGAGTTGTCACTGAAATTAAGGTCTGCCAGGCAGAAAATGTTAGGGTATGAATTCTATTTTAAGCACTTAATTTGACCACTTCAAATTTAGTCTTTACATGAGTAATGGCTCCTGTTAATGAGTACTTTGAAAGAATATATGAATACACACACACACAATTATATTTATGAAGAAAAAAGTGGTTATAAAGTTGTTAATCTTTCACAGTTGTTAATCTTAATAATTCACTCTTCCACAGTGAAACCAGATTCTTAGGTTTTGGTGTACTGTTTATAGCAAGCACTGGCCTTTTGGAAATATCCCTGAACTCTGCCTTCTGCTTCCTGGCAAAGGAACACCTTTGGGGACAACTATGTAACACAAAGCAGTGGTGGCTGAACTTGGTTTATAATTTGAAGCATGCACAACTGAGGAAGAGTCTTCTGTTGTCCTTCAAATTATGTCACTGTATGATTCTGTAAGATACTTAACATGAAAAACTGTCACATGCTATGGGCAAGAACAAAACTGAAACAGCAGCAAGAGAGGGAGCCCAGCTCATTTTAGGTGACAATGCACAGAAACTTTTGTCATCAGGTAGATTCAATCACACCAGGCAGCTAGAAGGCAGACTAAAAATCTGTTGTGTTCTGAGGTGTTTTCCCTGCACTGCACAGCATTTATTAGGAATATGAATTCGCATTTTTAAATGGTCTGAAGTGTTTCCTTCCATGCCAACTGGCAATGTCTTTCTGTCAGAAAGAATAGTATTGTGTTAAAACTTTATTATGTTTAGGGTATTTATGAGAAGGACTCTGACCATGGGCTGCTGGGGGTCCTTTAAAGACACCCTAAATGCTCAATGAATGGATGCTCAAAAGCTGGTTTGTTTTTTTTAATTATGGTAATATATTAACAACAGTCATAAACTGTCTGTCTGCCATATGATCTTGTGCTTTTTTCTCTAAGCATATTTGCTTACTACACTGGAACAAACCCCAAAACTCTCCTGAATTTGGGCCTGTGAGGCGTCAGGCATTTGCATTAATAAGTTGCAGCCAATACATGACATATGAGAGAGTAAGATATGTGCCATTCTGCCTAATCTGTCATTACTGGGACTGTGAGTAGAATACTGATCCCAGGCTGTCTCTTGCTGCTGCTAGTGGCATACCAGGCAAAATTAAAAAAAAACCCAACAACCAACCCCAACCAAACAACCGTGGCTTAATCTGCAGTTACAAGGTGTTAATTAGCTTAGCAATGCCATCCTTTGTGCTTGCATGTTGAGTGTGAGAGAGGGGGAGCTGGAAAATAAAGCTAGACCTTCACTGAATTTAGAAAAGGGACTTTGAACCAGCCTGAGCTCCAGCACAACTTTCACCTGTGCATGCTCAGGCTGTGCCCCTGGTGCTTAGACTGGCACAACCACAGCAGGCAGGGTTAAAGGCACAGGCAAGTAAGAGACAAAGTGGTGGCCAACAGATTCTTCTCTGACCAAAGTCACAGTGGAAAGAACTGCAACTCAAAAATCTGAGGCAGGTCTATGCCAGTTGTACTCGCTGAGTTTCCCTGCCATTAATAGCAAGGGAGCATAGGCTTATTGGCAGGGTTGACTAATTGAGCACCACATCCTGATTTGTAATTTACCCTGGGCCTGACAGATGAGGTTGAAGACTTAAGCTACCCCTAGACTATGTTGAAGTTGGATATTTAGCCTAAGTCCTCTCAGGAGAATAACTGGACAAATACAAGCACCCTAAAGCCAGTTCATCCTACCCTGACTAGGTGTCTGGAGTCTAGTCTCCCCTCACACATCCAGTTTCAGTCTTAGATAAACCACTTGATAAAGTGCCAGCTCTTTGCAGTGCATCATAAAACACTGTGCAGTATTCCTAGTTCTGTGCCTTGTATGCAGTATTTTAACTAAAGTTATACATAAAGTACTTAAATCTTGCAGAATTTTCCTCTACCATCATGCAAAATCATTAAAACCTGCTTGGGCAGAGTATATATCTGAATCTATGGTTACTTGGTTATTTACAATTAGTTAGGATTTGAAAATTGATATCAAACTGTACCTGCACCATAGCTGTGCACAATCCAAAGATTCCCACTGCCAGTAAGTTTTCCTGGAGCCATATTTTCACAGTTTCATAGCAAGGCTAAAAAAAAAAAAAAAAACCAAACCAAGAATATTATATTAGCCATAAATACAGCTCTACTCTCCTGGGAATATACAGCCAGAGACAAAAATGGATGTGACCTAGCTGCTAGGTAGCCTGGATTATCATTTCAGTGCTGGAGCAACTACAATGTATTTTTGGGTTGAATCTTCAACATGGAGTTCTAATCCCAGTGACACAAAAGAGTGCACATCCAAAATGCTGCATGAGCAATGCTCCATATAAATTCAGCCAGTAACTAAAAATACTGATTTAGGCTGGGGTAGAGTTAATTCTCTTCACAGTGGTGGGTATGGGGCTGTGTTTTGGATTTGTTCTGAACACAAGGTTGATAATCTGAAGATATTTTTGTTTTCATTGAGCAAGAGTTACACAGAGCATGGATTTTGGATTCCCTATTGAACTGTCTCTATCTCAACCCATTCTTTTCTCACTTTAATTTTCCACTTCTCCCCTTGATCCCACTGGTGGCAAAGTGTGCAGGCAGCTGTGTTGGGCTTAGTAGCCAGCTGGGGTTCAACTACAACAAACAAACAAACAAACACTGGCTTTGGGTCCTCTTTGCCCTCTAAAACCCAACCAGAAGCAGTTAGAACCTTACAATGAGGCTTTCATTTTCTCCACGTTTCAGGGAAATAGACACTTCTTATAATGCATACAGACACATGAAACCCAACAGTCCCAGTGCAAGTGGCTCAGTAGCTGCTCCTGCTGCACATGGGCCCATTTCATACCATTTCCCACCATTTCAAACCACACTATGGGCACTCCTCCATTATTTTCTTCCTGCTTTAAATTCTGCATTAGCTGTAGCCCTGTTTTACTGGTCCAGTTTCTTTAAATAATAATGTCTGTAAGACAACCTTGTGCAAAAGCAGTGCCCTCTGTCTTGTAAATGTTCACGGCCAAGAATCGTTCAGCCTTCAGTTAGGGGCTTAACATATGTATAAAAGAAGAACCATTAATGCTCATCAGGAGCTAAAGGGTTAACCTGCACTGATTTTTCTTGCTACTCTCAATAAAATAGAAGAACTTTTCAGTCCTTAAATTAAAAAAAATTACCTGGAGCTACTCTAGAAGGATAAGGAAGCTGTGTTTGATGCGAGTACCAATCCATGCATATGAAATCTTACTAGAAAGTGGCCAAGAGAGGTTTTATTCATTGTCTTCACAAACCATTAGAACCAGCAAAACTTAAGTTATAATTCCACTTTATCACGTGGCCTTACTCCACACCCCTCCTGTGTAATTGCACTACCTATAATTAGCACAAAGAATTGCTGAGCTAATTTCAGAGACATATTTAGGCTCTGGCTACCTGTTCCAGAAAGATCTTGCTGAGGCCACTGTAGGGAAATTATCCCATGGAGTTTTGAATTTGATTACAGGCAAGTGCAGAAACTCAATGAAAAAAAAAAGCTGCTGTCAGCTCAGCAGAATGGCTCCCACTCTTCTGTGCAGTGGAAGCCCCTGAATGAGAGTTCCTGGTGGGAGGAGAGTGCTCAAGGCTCTCACAGTCCTCTTGCCTCACGACTGCCTGGGTTGTGATAAGCTATGGCTGCTGCTCCAGGGCCTGTGTGTGCATCAACCATTTCCTTTATTGCTACCTGACCCCAGTAGGTGGGACACTAAAAAGGACATTCCTGCCATTTCCTGCCTAGATGTCACTAGTGTGGGCTGCAGATCAGAGCTGCAGTGTGAAACCACAGCTTAGAGCCTGCTGAAAGGAAACCAGCTCATAAAAATAACTTAATAGGGGGTTTCATTGGAGGTCAAAGGGCAAAACTCAACAGGACCCTTCTGAAAGCACCTGATGAAAGGTGAATTAGGATAGATGGATGAGGTGCACAGCTTATCATCTGTGCAGCCTTCCTGCCCTCCACCCGGGCTGCAAGGCAGCTGCTGCTGTGTGCTGCACAGCTACTCACCGCTTTCCACCAGGTCCCTGGGGAATGCAGCCCACAGTTCTCACTGAATTCTAAGCAGCAGGAGTCTGGCACCCGGGTTGTGTTGTACACTTCGAACCAGTCCGTGTAGTTGGAGACTCCACAGCATCTGAACTGGAAAAAGATGAACCGAGGTGATACTGTAAGCATGATCCATCACTGACTTCTGCCTGTTCTGACTTTGCCTCCTACAGCCTGACACTCAGTGCATTTTGATTACAGCAGCAGAGGCTTGAAGTTTTAAAGAAATGCAGTACTTCCTCAGCTTTACCCAAACAGAGCCTTTTCTCCACTCTTTTGTATTATGTTTAAATATGGCTTTGTATGCAGCTAATGTTGATGCAAGAAGCAAAGGCCCCTATTTGCAGTGGGAAGACAATGCAGGAACTGAAACTGGACAACCTCAGACAAGTACTGAAATTGAGCTATTGAGGACTAGAATTGTAACAGTTGTTCGCAGCTTGTCAGGAAAAAAGATAAAGGTACAGCACCCAAGGGATGAAGATACTGGGATCTCTACAGCACACTGGGATTGTGACTGAAGTAAACAAGGTGAATTTCTCACTAAGCTGTTAATTACTCATCAACTTTGAAAGTCTTTGCCAGTCAGCAAAAGATATATTTTCTCCTCTTCTCTCTGTGGTGCAGCTCTTTAATGTCATCATCTGATGCTGCTCTAATAGCTGTGCCTTAAGTGTTTGCCTACAACAGCACAGTGAGTGCAGAGATCACAACACTGCTAAATCAGAAGGTCTGTTCAACTTTGGTAGTGGGATGAAAGGTACAGAAAGACACAATGGTACAGGGAATGGCTCTGTGGCCATCTTCCCCTTGGGAACTGGTATATTCCTGTGATAGGAAATAAGCTAGGACTCATTACCATATAGATGTATACACCATCTGTCGCCCCTGTGCAAAAATATGAATTCATTGGTATTTAGACACTTCAGCACCAACGAGTAAAACAACACAACACTGGGCTGCAGAACTGCTCTCTGCTATTCACAGTACCTCACACTTTTTCAGGGCTATGCCAGCCACCTACATAGTCTCAAAATTACTTGCCAAGATCTTATTTTTATAGATGTGATTTTATATAAGCCTGAAGAGTATTTTTCACATCCCTATAGAGACCACTTATTTTGTTTCTGAGAGACTCATAATCAAGCAGACATCTGCATCACCAGGGCCAAAGACCTAATTGAGATCCTGATGTTTGCACTGGCTTGAGGGAGAGTTTTCCTTTGTTATGTAATAGTTGTAGAGTTCAGGCTGCAGTAGAGTTGCAGTGTTCGGGTCTTGCTGCACACACAAAATGTGCCACTCCAAGCCCATAGAGGGCAGAGGTGTCACACGCTGCCTCATGCATCATATGATGCTTCAAGCACTCAGAAAGTATTCCTTGATAGAGACATTTCAGTGCTCACAGCAGAGTTTTTCTTCTGTCAAGGAAAAGTCAGAAAACTTTCCTGGACTAACATCTATCCCTCCAAGTTTCTGCTTTGAATTTTGATTCGGTCTGTGGCAGGACTCAATCCTCCACTTGCAAATGTTTGATTTCTAAGTTTACAGGCTTCATTTTCTACAAAATGACATGAAACTAGAAAAAAAGTTTATGCCTTTCTTTTTTTTCCTCTATGTTCCTGCACAGAAAACAGGAGGTCCATGTGTAACAGGCCCCAAAAGTGGGTAGGAGCAGGCTGGAATACATGGCATGCATTTGAGGAAGGCTGGTTTATTTGGAAATCTAACAAGAAGAAGGTCTTGCAGGCTGTCATCATTAGAGTCGGGAGGCAGCTCTTTGATAGACAGTGAGAAGTGACAGCTTGTAAACAGCAAGCCTTAAAAATGTGGCTCATCTGCGATGCAGAGTGTGCAGTGGTAAGGGCTGAGACATCTGAGTGATGTTCTGGCCAAACACAAGTGACACAAGCTTGCATGAATCAGAACTGGGCTCCTTCTCTCCATAATAATGCATGGCTGAAGGTGTCAGTCTGACACACTAAGGAGATGAAGATGAAGCACGGGGGTTTGTGGCCAAGTGCTCACTAACAGGTTGAGGACAGCTGCTCCTGTGTGGAGCCTGTGAAGCAGGAGGTGGCTAGGCCATGAGCTACGATTGGGACTCCAAAGAGTAAAAAATTCCTGGAAAACCACGAGGTGAGAACAGAAAGGGATGCAGTTAGAAAGATGAGCTGCAGTTGGACACAAACTGCCTGCCCACACAGATCCTCTGGACAAGAGCACTGCAGATACAGCAACAGGAGAATTGGCTAAGAGAAGTTCAAGGGATAAATAAAGGACATTACACAGGATCAGTGGTCTTGGGACTGGAAGAAATCATGTCTGTAACTACAACTGGCAGAAATATCTTTGGAAGACAAAGGAAGGATGAGCAATGGGATTAAGCAGTGGGTGATCCATAGCCCTGCTCAAGAGGAGGTGATGAATACAGCAGAGTTCTGACACCACAGACACCTAAGAATGCAGAATTAAGTGAGGGAACACTGCTCAGTGAAGGCCAAGTCCCTGACTGGCATCTCCAGGGAGCAGGGGCACTGATCCATGGTGAAAGATGCAGGGATGAGGAAAGGAGCAGCAATGGGATTGAATGGGTCACCAGCTCAGATTCAGCAAAGGGCTCCACTAGAAGCCAGAATGGCAGATAAGCTGAGAACTCAATAAACTCAGAGGCTTCACTATGGATGTCCAAGCAGAAAAGAGAGAGTGCAGGAGTGATTTTGGATCGTGTGACAAGCAACTGATCTATCCCAGGTTGATGCAGCTGAGCAGTAAGCAGCCAAATTATTGAGGGAGATGAGGGCCATTAGAGGAAAGGGGAATATGGAGGACGTTTATGAGAGTCCTCTTAGATTTGAGAGCAATGTTCTCTTGAAAATTGGCAGGGTTTCTAAGCAGGGATAGTTGGAGACAGGCCCACACTTGGAAGATGGAGAAAGCTCAGGGCACATGAAGGGGGATGTCTGTCACCAGTTTGTTGTAGCCAGTTCTGTGGCAAAAGTTGATGTTCTGCCAATGCCAGGCATGAAAGCACTGAAGACTTGATTCTTGCTACAACCATGTTCATTTTTTGGTCACATTTATACTCCTCTCTTGTTCCCTTCACAAGTTAAGTGACAAAATTACACAAGGTTGCCTCATTGCTCTGTTCTGTTCCTACTTTCAACATTTGCATTTCTTAGAAACAATTACAAAGTAACAGCACTTATTTTGGGGTACCCAGACTAAAACACTTTAAAAGGCAGCAATCTATTAAAAAAGTTTATAACTCAGTGCAACAGTGCAACTCCTGATAAGGAACTGGACACTTGAACATATTTTACAGGTAATCCCAATACTGAAGGCTAAGTAGGCCTTATCTTCTCTGCCAAATTCCTGCACACTCAGTTTGTGAAAATAAAGAGATATTCAATCCTTGGTGCAGTTTTTTAGCAATGTCTTGTTTTCTGGTTTTGTGAATGGGGCAAAGAACTAGAGACAGGGTAGGGGGCCTTCTAGACACCTTTTTCCTCCATCACTGTAAAAAGTGGTGAATAATATAGTTTTGTTCTAAAAAATCATGTTTAATGGGTGGTTTGGATTAATTCAGCAGTAATTCCAAAGTGTGGCTTGATCTTATGGAATCAATGACTGGGAAGAGGGAGATGGGTCAAATTTCTTCTCAGTTACAGTGGTATAAATAAACATGAAAAGGCATTACACAGCAGCAAAAGTGAGCTGAATTTGCTCACTTTAGTGAAGCTAATAGGTTTTCTCCATGCCTCTCGAATTACTGCCTGGTTAGTTAAAAGCAGAAGTGCTCAAATATTGATCACAAAGATGTTGGGGGTGAAGCAACATTTTAAAAATTAATGCCTGTTTCTCATTTCCTAATGATCTCCACCTGTGATTTTAACCAGTCCTGGTGGGTAAGAAGTTTAATGCTGTTCAGAGCAACTTACCTCCTGAACTATCAGAATTTTAGTCATGTTTGAAAATCACTTTGTAAGCTTTTGTAGTCTTCGGTCACGACACACAGAATTCATCTGCTTGTGTTTCTGATCCTTTTAAGGTTTGAAATGCTATTGAGAAAGGCTGAGAGTTTGGTTAGCTGAAGGTATTAAAAAGAAATCAATAGAATGTTCTGATTTGAAACAGCTCCCTGACCCAGAGGCTTACCAGGACTGCAAAATGAGTCCACTGCCTTTCCTCTCATACACTTTGCAGTTTTGCAGCTTAACCCAACTCCTCTATTAGTAACTTGAAGAGCTCAGGCATCAGCCAAAACTGCAACTCCCTCTGAAAACACAGGCCCTGTTCTTTCCTTGTTTCCAGTTTCTTGGAAATTGTAGGCTTCTGTTAAAAAGAGGAAAACCATTTCTCAAGGCACAAAGCCTTTGGAAAAGAAAACTTTCCTCAAAAGCTGCTCAGGCCTTTCACACTTGGACAATCACCACTCACAATCACCACTCACTGTATGCACTGGGCATCCACATCCCAGTCAAAACTCCCCTCTGATTTGTGACTGGCCAGTCCCACAGAAGTCAAAGGCCATCTAAATGTGGTTCCTTGGAAAAACGTTTTCCTCTATTTTTCAGCTGAAGCTGCCATACACAGTAGTACCTAATGAATGCAGGATGGGGATTGTCTCTACCTAAGTAAATCTTGGAAGAAATTAAGAATTATGCCAGAGTGCCTGAGTTACTGCTTTAGCCACTGCTCAGGCTCTGAAAAATACTTTTACAAAGAAAGGAGTGCAAATTCAGAGAGCACAAGGGCTCATTACGATTTCTGTTACTGTCTTGGTTTTTTACATGGCACTTTTTTTTTTTTTTGGTGAGGCTGCTGTTTTCCATCCACACACAGACACAGCCCATGGCTTAACCAGTGACTGATGTCTCCCATGAGGAAGAACACTGACCTGTATGGCAACGTGGTTGCTCTTTTGTGGGTTTTGTTGAGAGCCTTAGGAGACAGGATGCAAACAGCAAGCCTGGGCTGAGACCTCCCTTGCAGAAAATTCCCTCGTTTCTCCCTAGTCCTCCAATCAGTGATTATACTCTACTGATTAGGGATGTAAAAGATAATGATTATTACACAAAAACCCCCCAAGTTGGCATTTAGACAGCTCTATTCAACTGCAAAGTGTTTTACATAATTAACCATGATGGGATTGTCTTTGCTGCACCTCTGCAATAGTCAATTCCCACACAGTTTTCAAAGATACATGTGAGAACCAATTATGCAGAGTGGCAGAAATGGATCTGTGGGAGCTCTTTGCTGTTCTCCTCAGTGCCCAGCATGGGGAGCACAGTGACTCTGACACTGTGGTACTGCCAAGCTGGCCGTGGTCACTGCACAGTGGCCATGTGAGGGTGATGTCCCCTGGCTGCACACAGCACATGGGATGGCATTTTCCTGCCATCTGTTGAGCTCCTCGGAGTTAGCTAACATGAGTTTCATCTGAAACTTGTAAGGCACTCTTTAAACCACACTGGGTTTCAAGACCAAAGGACTGAGCAGGACAGATGACTGTGACCTGCAGCACTACAGAAACCACAGACTATTGAGTCCTGCCTCAAACCCAAGCTGCTCACTGACCATGACCATTTCCTTTAAGCAAAAAGCCAGGTCTTATTCTCTAGAGAAAAAGAATCTACTGTGCTGCTGTACAATGGCATCCTACCACCAGATATGTCTAACTTCAGTTTTTAGCTCCTGGATCAATTAGAGAACCCTTTTCTTTCATAAACTTTTTCCTTCCTGCTCCTTTTTTTAAGGACTGCAGTAACATCACTACTTCATTTTTACCTGTTTATATATTTAAAATTTCTCACCATAATGTCACTTTCCAAAATCCTTATTATTCTTCGACATCTTTGCTGAATCCAATCAACTCATGAAGATTGTGAAAAAATATGACTATGTGAACTAGACAGTACATGTATTGTTAAACCTATTTTACACAAAGGGGAGCAGAAGTATGGTGTTTATATCCCATGAGTCCTCCAAAAACTGCTTTCCCCCCTACCTTTACTGTATGCTTTTAAGAGTTCTTGGGGTGTCACTGAAAGCAGATTCATACTTACTGCAAACATTTTAATATTAGTAGTTTTTACTACATTTTTACTGCACATAATTAAATTACTGTAAAAGAGTAAACTTTCTAATATTGTTGGATACAAGCAACGATATTAAAAATTGTATCTATATTTCACATGGCTTACTCTTGGGCTAGCACCACAAAATGCATTTCTCTTGTCAGTAATTGATGCCTTCTCATATTGGAAAAAGGAAAAAGTATTGGAAGAGGAAATTATTAACAATATTGCAAGATGCTGATGCCTTTTAAAGGTAACTGAAAGAACTTTTCACATGAAGTTGTTGGGATCCAGGACTGGAATTGGCTTGTCTGCTGGACCTGAGCTGTTTGTCTTTCACACACAGAAGTGTTGTAGGCAGCTGCACTCAACACAGACAGGTCCTGCAGACCCAAAGATGCACAAGGACTTTGGCCAATCAGTTCTTTTGTTCTGTTAGTGATCTCAAATGTTTAATTTCTCAGATCATTTCTTAGTAGCCTGTTGCTCCTGTTACTTTGTATTGTCCATAAGAAGAGACTTTGGGAGCACTGGGATCTTTGATCCATTTAAGACATCAGGCAAGACTAAACCTCTCCTGGCTGCACTACACTTGCACCTCTGGAGGAGAAGCTGAGAAAGCTATGTAAGATTTTTTGAGTGAAGCAAAGGCAGTGCAAGTGCTTCTGCCTAAAGCAGAAGAAAAGCTGGAGCACTTTTCCATTCAAGAAGCAGAGAGCATGAGATCAGAAAGATCATCCCCAGGAGAACTGACTGCACTGAATATGAAACAAGAAGTACAGAGAATAAACCTGAACTGCCAGTGATGGTGTTTCCTCAGACAAGGACAGGAGGAGGAAGCCAGCTACAATGCTCACCAGTGCTTAGCAGATGAACACTGGCAGAGGGCTGCCAGAGAACCAGGACAAAGGAACAGCAGTGACAACACAGCAGAAAACATTCCCAGTCCACCTGTTATGGAGGATTATTGAATTCTGCCGGGGAAAGCATACTGACTGTAGGAGGAGGTTGCAAACACCATGGTCTGTTTCCATTCTGACTCACTAGTGGGAACAATAGTGGCAGTGAAAGGAGACAGGACAGAAAGGAAAAAGTGGTTGAAGAACAGAAGCCACCCCTTTGAATTTAAAGAGAAGGTACTGCTTGTTTTCTGTCTGACCAGCTCCTTTACACAGCACAGAACTGCACGATATTTAGGCATCAACTTAACATAACCTTCTAAAAGGAAGAAGATATTTCCTGTCAAAGGAGAAATAAATAAAAATTACTACTTGTTACAAAATGCAGACAGTTTAGTTGCTAATGTGATACTGGGTGGGGGAAAGAGAGTGGCTTGGGATTTGGAGGTTTGATTAGGTTCACACCCAGAACATGCTGTTCCAGAGCACAGAAGGCAAAGAGGAAGAGGTAAAAGAGAGCTCAGACTTACATCTGTTTGAATGATGCTCCATGCGTTAGTGAGGCCAATATTTCCATCTGTCCCATACAAGTGAAGTCCTTTCTTCAGATCCCGCTGAGCATACTTGTCAATCTAAAACCAACAACAAAAGACACAGAGCTCAAAATCTGCTGAGTGCCACATTTCAGAACCAAAGTGCACAGAGCATGGAGATGTTGGACAATGGTCCTGTACTGAAACGAATAAAAGTTTAACCAACACTTTGTAAATAACATGAGGAGTTCCTCTTGAGGAGTTTATGTTCCTGTTTCCCACCACAGAGACCTTTGATACAACTTTCCCCTTCTCACACAACTACCAAACTATGCCAGGGAGACTGGATGCAGTTTAACCACTCATTTTTGCAAATAAGCCTATCTATGGAAATATTAATCTACACACAGTGTTTCCTTTTAGCTGAGTATCTTTAATTGTGACCAAGTGCATTAATGTGTACTCTTCCATACTGGAAAACAGACAGACATGGTGTATTCCCTAGTGATTGCCCCTCTGGAACTCATCATTCCAACGGGGAGGTTGTATGTCTAAAAGGATGTAACCACTACTAATTGTGAGCTAACAGAGGCAGCAAAGGTATTCTGCTTCTGCCAAACTTGGGTTTTACTTCTGCTTTGTGCAGTCAGATTTGTTTTCTGACCGCAGCTGCAAAAGCAGGTGGATGCAGAGAATCTTGCATGGTGTAAAAGAGGAATTTTCCAACCCACTACATCATAATTATTTTGGGGAAAATATAAAGTTACTCAACAATATGACTCTACAAAATACTATGACCTCAGAAGCTCACCATGTCCAGGAAGCCTCTGCTTTAAGTACAGAATATTGTGCTTATCTGTCCAGTTCTTTTGTTTCCTTCCTGAAAGTTTACCAGCATTATGTTGAGCCAGCCATAAAAGAGCTTTGAGGCAGTACAAGAAAGAGCACAGGTTAAGATTAAGTACAACTTCATCTCAGCACCTTAACTATCATGCAAGGCCTTTCTCACAGATGCCTTTCTTGAAGAGTAGGTGCTGTGATCCCTCTGTAATTATCATGTAAGCTGCTTTTGGCTTTACACAAAGATTATACACAGTCACTGGCACGTTAATTAGAAAAGAACACCAAAGCTGAAGGCTGTCATTAAATTTGGAATTAGCTGAGAAAATCACAGGCAATAAACAATAAACTTATATGTGTTGGGGATTCCTAGCATTCATTTAAGAATTAGATTGACCTGTGTTTCAGCTCTGCACTTAGCCTCAGCTCTCTGTGTCTCAACTGGACCTGCTGTGGTCTCCAGCAGAGCCATCAATTAGGATGGAAGGGCATGGTTGTGATGCCAGTCTCAGAGAGCCTTGGAAATTTAGTTAATGTCCCACAGAGGCAGTGAGGTAAATTAATTGTTGAAAAACTCGTTCAGAAACTGACAGAGGTGAAGAGGAACAGGGTAACTAAGGGCAGGTGGGGACAGAAATCCAGCCAGGCAATCTGCTACATTGAAGATGAAAGAGAAAGGTTGATTTTGAATTTTAATTTATCTCACCTGAGAACATCTGCCCTGTAGAGTGAGAGAACTACACACCAGCCTTAGGTTCATATCAGCACTAATATGGAACAAGGGAGAGAACAGTGATTCTTATCTGAAGGGTAAATGCCATGTTAACAAAAGGATGCCAAATGCAAAGTTTGCATTTCCTCACTCCAGTTATGTTTTGCAATCTTTACATCCTATTTGAGATGGATACTAACATCATGGTAAGTTATTAATTTAACATTCATAGAAGATCAAGAGCAACGTTTTGTTAGTCCCTGTGTGCTTTAACATGGTCTCAGGAGATTGTGACACCAAGCATGCCTGCTCTTCCTCCTACCTGGAGAAGCCTCATTAGCAAGCAACTTGCTGAGGCAAAATGAAAGCAAGTGCTCTCTTCCTCAGAAAATTAACCACTTTTCCTGCACAAAGAGTGCAAGAGTGCCTTTATACTGGGAACACAGCTGGCATCAGATTTCCATATTTCAGAAACTGAGTAACCAGCAGAGCATTAGACCAGAAAAAAGGCACTATGTGACCAGTTCTCCCACTGCTATTTCAGAAAGCCTCAACATCAAGTCCTGCACATGGCATGACCCATCATTATTTGCTGTTTTAAAAATAAAGTGCCTGCTTGAACCTTGCTTGGAAGAGGATGTAAGTTTTTTCAGAATCCCACACCCTGCATGTGTCTCATTTCCTTCTCTCTCCCTCCTCTCTATGCAGGCTACAACTTTGAAAGAGGCAAACACGTTGTGGAACAGTGTTGCCAGATTTTTTCATCTTTTTATTTCATGTCCACTGATAGGGAAGGCATCTGGAAATGCCAGTTTTACACATATATACACAGAGAGAACTTTATACTGGCTTGAGTGATGGTAAAGGCAGGATTTTACACAGTTCTCCTTTGCTGAAGTTGCCATCTGACTTTCTAATCAAGTGTGCTGTACATACAACAGTGTGCTACTCTCTGAAGAGCAGCTGATTTAAAATCTCTTTGTCACAGAGCTACTCCTTGCAGCATTCACACTCTCCTGTTTGCTTACACTACGCTCAGAAAGGTGTTGATCAAACTCTAGGAATAGCCTTGTCCAGAACAACTGAGTCTGTGGGTGGCACTGGGCTCCAGGAGAAAGGGGGAACAGGGATCAGCCCTTGGCCTCCTGCACTTGTGTCTGCAGCTGAAGTTCCAGCAGGAAGCCTCCCATCCTCTGTGTCTCCCCTGTTTCCATTGGTTATTAATGTGTTACCTTGCATGGATTAATCAGTGCTGATGTAGCCTTGGGCTTCCTAAGGGCCCAGGGCAGATGGAACAGGAGCACTGCTCCCACTGCCACTGTGGGGAGCTCAGTCTGTGTGCAGTCCTATTAAAAGCACATTGACCTTTGCTCAAATAACCTGTGTGCAAGGTTATAAAATGGGTATTTTTCTCCCAACTGAAGCACTGCTCGAAGCTCTAGATATATGATTCCTACTGGCTTTGACTAGAAGTAAAGAAAGAAAAACTCAAGGCCTATTTGTTGGGGGCAGCTGGCAAGTGGTCTTCCAGGTCCTCCTGTTTCCTTCTAACCTCAATTTTTTTCCTTCCTCAAAATATTTTTAGTATAACAGGAACTTTTCAATATGCCCTTATTCTAATTGTAAGTTTGATTTAAATGAAAACTCCCCAAACACCTCCAGCTGTCTCTTCTGCCTTTAATTTGAATTTTTCAGAAAATGATCTTTCTGAAAATGAAATGCTGCGCCACAGTGATTCATCACATCTCCTGACAAATGATCCTACCCAATACTCACCAATCTGTCAGCTTCCCTTGTTTGTCTCTGAGCTACCAGTCCTCAGCCAGGCAAAATGTCTATCTCAAATCAGGACTGAAGTATTATATTTAATATTCTGCAATTTGAATCTGCTGCATTCTTCCATACAAGAGCCGGGCCCTTCACAAATCACAGCTCCAGTGAAGTAGGACAAAGAAGAATAACAAAAACTCTCTGCAGGCAAACTGTTGCTCTAAACGAGGTGTCTGTTTTTAGACATGTGGAATACCAGAGATTTCTTTAGACGAAAGAGTTTCTGAAAGATTTGGCAGCAAGAACCTTTTATCAATCTGTTAGTGAGAAGAGAAAAGTTCTTTTCCTCCTTGGGGATTCATTGGTCAACAGATGAGAGGTGAAAGCTTGAAGCTGGCATGCCATCCATGTAGAATCCTGTGAGCCCTGGGTTCAGACACACTGGAGCCTTGCCCGTGCTTATCAGCCCCATCAGGTTCCAGTGGTGTTTCTGGCAGGTTAAATGTGCCCCAGGGTGGTGATCCACTACCATCCATGCCTTCAACAGAAGCACTTCTTAGAGCAGAGCATGCACATTGCTGCACTTTCTCTAAGCCAAGATCATGCTCCTAATGCAGGGCAGCAATACTTTCTCACTGACTTCCATTAGGCCCTAATAGGGCTCTTCAATCTCTCACTGTCCTGCTGATTTTCTAAAATATATATACTGATCTAAGGTGGGCAAGCCATGTGCAGAGAGTTTCAGGCAACGAAGGAAACTCGGTATTTGAAATGAGAAAGGGAAAGCTACAAGAGCTGTGGCAAGACTGGAGAGAGCCTGCCACAGAGGTCAGGAAAAGTGGCTGGAAGCTGGATGCAGTTAAGAGAGAATGGGCAGGGATCCATCTGAGCCTCACCTAAACTACAGCTGGGACAAAACATTACTCAAAAAAATCTTACTCCAGCCTGCATGTAAATCCAGGCAAAATTAAAGTGTTTCTTTCTTAATTTGCATTCCCTTGAGGCAGCTACTTAAACTGTAGCAATGTACATGTAAGGCTGCTTTTACTGTCAGCTTTGTCCCCTCATTGCCTCAGAAATCCAGAGCCTCTGAGCAGAACTGTGGCTGGCTGGCTGACAAGCCCAGCTGGAGAAGCCAGCACATTTCAACAGGACCTGGGGCTGTCAGACTCCACCACGTCTCCTTGAGTAAGACAACCTAAGAATAATTGAGGATGAGATAAAAAACTGTGTAACAACAGCGACAACAAACTCCTGCTTAGCAGAAATGCTGAAAGCACTACATGAACATTGTGCACTGCCAACACCCAGGCTCATGATTAATTCCATCTCTGTTTTACAGATGGGGGACTGTAGGGGCCTTCTCAGTTCCTGGGGGTAATTTCACAGACCTCTCATCCTCTGTCTAAACGAAAGGTTTTGGAGTTTATGTACTTACTGTTAAGGCATGAAACACAAGACAAACACTGCTCCCTGAGAAGCCCAGCCCTGTAATTTTGCTGCTGATAAGCAGGAGGAAGTGCTTTGAGCAAAACATCGTGGGCAAACAGGAGGATTGTGTCTGTGCAGAACACGGGTCTTACCAGTATTTACAGCTAAATGATGCATGACTTTGATCAAACTGAAGCTCCAGCAATACTGAAGACACAAAGTCCTTCCCCCTGTCCCAGCACACTGAGAGGGAAGGTGGCTTTGCTGTAATCTTCTCTGGAATAAAGGTCAAAAGAAGGCTTTTGGGAGATCCTCATTAACTCCTTTTGAACTTGCTGAAAGCATG